GGTTCCACTTGACAGATTTGATTTAGCCTGCTGAGGAAGTTACCAGAAAACCAGGAAGGACAAAGGGGCTGGCCTGAACTGTTACTGAGGGTGCTTTTCAAACACATCCCTACTGTGTTCACTTTTTTTCTTGGTCATGTACGACAATGGTATTTTTCAGTCTTCTGTGAGCCTTCGCCACACAGTTCCAACTGTTTGATCATTTAGCCAAGGGTACCCCAAACAAGAACTCCTTTGATATTGATTCTAAGCTGGATTTATTGCTCAAAAAATGCCAGAGAGGCAAATCCATTCCAACAACATGCCCAGTCCTGTGTTTAATAAGAAATGATGGGCTTTCTTGACATTACGGAACAAAATTGATACAATACTGCTCACGTTTCTACTTCTAGTTAAATATTACATAAAACTGAATGATAACTGACACTATTTAGGGTGCTTAAGTAACAATCATTAGGTGGGGAGGGGACAGGAGATAAGAATCACCATTTCAAACTAATTCCATCGGCTCTTTTCTTCATTTGTCTCAGGTTCAATGGTTGGCTATCTATGGTCAATATTAAACAAAAAACCAAACAAACAAACAAGTGCTTCCTCTCTAAAGAACTGAAAGAAGGTCTGAACTAAATAACAAGTCCCTTGTTCATAAAATAGTCATTCTGATACCTGAATGATGTTTGGATGAAATGAGCAGTTTGGCGATGTTCTACTTAACAACTGTAACCTTAGTATTAGAAACAAAATGGGTACACAGGACTGCCCACATAAAATGGCTGGTGTTGAAAAAGAAATAGCCTATTCTTTGTCAGTACCCACTACTCTATGTAATATCTCAGGGAAACAGGTAATAGCAATGCTTTCTCAGAAATCTGGTCTCTTAAATGAACTGTGTCTTCTAGGGCCACACATGCAAGCTGCTTCATTCCTTATTGGGTCTTGGTTCATATGCCAATAAAATGTTGCCAAGGGATATACACTGTCAGGCTTTAGGAAGGGAATGAAATCTAGTAAATACCCAGGAACAGAATTCCCCAATTCATATTGGGGGGGGGAGGGTTGGTCTGGAATGGGTACAAGAAGGGCTTCGGCATGTGACCTGAGCAGCTGCACAGTGCTTACAACAGGCCCTGCTTCGTTGAATGCTCTGCTGTTGCTCTCTTGAAGTTCTTAATAATTTTATCTTTGATCTCGTGTTTTGCACTTCAAGTCTGGTGAGACAATGGAGCATGCTCATGGGCAGAGGAAAAACACACAACATGTGGTCTGCTGGATCCTTGCACAGCGTTAGCAGTGTCCCAGGAGCAGGTCTGTGGTGGAGCCACAATGCCTGGTCAGAGGCACTCAGAGAGAGCACATGGGTAGCGTGTCACCACCAAGACTGAGTAAGCGGGGAGGCTGGCTATGCTGACTATGAGTATGGAGGCCATACTCTCCACCTGAACTGGAACTTGCTTCGAGCACAGAAAAAAAGCAGTGTTGTCCTAAGAAACAAGAATAACCACGAACCCATAGAGATCTTTAGATGTGTTACTGTGTTAGCCAATAATTTACTCTGAAAATGATGACAAAGATGGAAGGGGAAAAACAGAGGGACTCCCAGTTCTTTTTCCTGTCAGTCCTTCCTTACTCATCAGTAAACTGAAGGAAGAGTGTTGGTTACATACTGCATATGAAGAATAAAGTAAAAATAAGTAAGTTAGTTTTGTGCAGCATTTTCATTGTTCTGTTAAGAACAAAAAATATTCATGTATGAATTACAAAATATGAATTATGTAATTGTGATTCCATATATGAGCTAAATACTTCTATATTTGTATATTAAACTGGGATTATACATATAAAGACTGATAAAATTAACGCTAATAATTTTAATTTTTAGTACTGGCATTAAAAAGCAAATAAAAAGACACTATGAAAAGTTGAGAGGAAAAGTGCACAACAATGGAAAAAGCTTCATATTGTAGCATCTTAAGGTACTTTTCTCTCCCTGCTTTTTTAATGAGGGCCCCTACATTTTCATTTTCTACTGGAAGCCCTGGGTTATACAGTCAGCACTGGTTTCAGATGTGTCCAAAGTATTCCTGATCTTCTGAGCTCTAGGGGAGACTGGCTGGGGGTTGGGGTGGATGCCCCTAGTACCAGGAGGCCTTGATGCTGTACTAAGATTAGGACTTTCAAGGTGGGCCACGAGGTAACAGAGTTAGGAAAGCTCGGCCTCCTCAGGTATACCCCAGAAACCACCTCTGCTGAAAGCTTGCCCTTGTGTCTGTCACAGGTACTCTGATGGGCCTGATCATGCATTAAATCCTAAAAAAAACTGAGATTACCACTCAAGAATACTCTGACGTCTGCGCTTGTGATGGTGCCCTCTTCCTGGAAAGCTGTCCTCCTCTCTGGGGACTGCTTCGCTATCATCCCTTCAACCTCAGCCTACATTCTTCCTCCACAGAGAGCCCTTACCCTGGCCCTGTTTCAACCCCACTCTCTATTTAGTTGCTATATACAACGGTATTAGTTTGTGTGTCTTCTTTGTGAAGCGTGGGACAAGAACCCCGTCTGCCTTGTTCCCTGTGTATCCCAAGCTTCTGGCACTGGGCTTGGCAGTTCGGGAGTTCGGGAGTCCATGCTGTTAGCTAAATAAGAATGCGAGGTGACACCCGCGATTAGGATGTGTTAGGTTATTCGGTGTTTTCCAAAATTCAAATCTAAGACTTATCTCAATGAAGCAGCAAATTCCAGACCTCAGCTGCTACACAAATCAGTTTAGACCTTTGCCAATGCATGTGAGGACCAGGATGTTTTAACAAAATGTTAAGGGAACAGTTTATTATTAATAGCCTAAGCTGATGTCTATAGGTATTTAAAAACTTTAAAAATTAGTAACCAGTAATGTTTGAAAGAATAAAAGTACAAAAAAAAAAACCCCTCTTTTTTCTTTCTTTTCTACTTTTCTCAACTTTTCTTATTATACTTTGGTTTCTGGCCTGAGTATTAGCACTTTTGTAGGCAGAAATTACATAGTAGAGTACTTAAGTGATTGCAAAGTTTTCTCCATTGACTGCATCTTTATAAAAATTATATATAGTATTATTTCTTATTTTAAGTAACTTACTTGAACAGCACAAATGAAATCTTCTCAAGGTATAAAATAAAAAAATACTTACATTTTTATAATGATCAACATAATAGGCTTTGTCACTTTCCCTGTCTTAATTTCTATACCAACTTGTCCTCTGAAATGTCAACCTGGCTATTTTATGAGTTATTGAAGAATACAGAATTTAATACCGATATTAACATCAGTAGCCCTGGCTGGGATCTGCATTCATCTAATGTGATTCCTTGAAAAGTTTTTTCAAGTGACGCTGAATCCTATCCTTTGAAGCTTTAACAATATTGTTTTCCCTAGATCTGATTATTCTGATGCTATATTGATTCTTCTTTGAGAAAGCAGTGTTCAACAAAATAATGAAGCATGTATTTTGTAATGAGAAGTTTGATAAGTGGGGTAGGTGGTGTGACAAAAATCACAATGGACTTACATAAACTGGAATTTTCTTGTTTGCAAATGATTTTTCCTTGCCTGGGTCCAAAATACTTGACTGATGAGTGTCCGGCTCATCCTAGTTGACACGCAAACTGACAAGCCAATTGCTGAATGGGTCTTTCTCATCTCTGCCAAGAACCTCTTTCAAGCATTTGTGAAATAAAAACCTCCATGATGAAGGCTGAGTCGACACCAGCTAAAAGATTAAGTCTAGAGTGCTGTGGATATCACTTCCAAGAATGCCATCTCCCAAACATGCACCACCAGCCTGGACAAAGCGCAAGGGAGCACGCAGAATGGAATAATGCTGTCCTGGCCCCCGGGGATGGACCAGATGGGACCTAATAGCTCTTTTCTACTACTAATTTCTATGATAATTCAAAGTTGCCACATGGCATATGTATTTTTTTAAATCTAAAGACAGAGTATCAGTCAACGCAGTGACCAGGATTTTAATGAAAGGTATTTTTCATGAACTCTATCTATTCACACATATTTCTCACCCATCCTCACCCCCACCCTTCAGTAACACATCACTAACGGTTGGAATGGGACAAGTATAGAGAGAGTTCAAACACAATATGTTCATACTCATTGTCAATACCAATTAGAAACAAAGAGATTCTAAGTTTTACTAGGAGGTCAGATGCCTTTTGTATCAATTTTAGGAAGTCACCTCAGTTTCTTTTTCTTATAATCAGACATTATGCCCAGATGTAAATATTATAGCATGCCAACTGTGTCTGAGAAAAAAAATTACAATACTGAAATTTCTCCTGGTTTTAGACAGATCAAGGTTGATGAAGATTTGGGGAAAATTGCAAAAGGATTTTTAGCCATTCTAACTGATGAGTCCCCATGCAACTTCACTTTGCCTTTCCCTGTTCCCCCAACCAGATGCAATTTCCCCCTTCTCTGATCTTCTAGAAGACCATTTGTACTTCTCCAGTGGTACTTACCACATTCTTTGATTGATTAGAGTCATTTCACTTGCTGTTGGTTTCATGTAGGCACTCTGGATGACCCTGTTACATTTTCCTCAGCATCCTACCTTCTCCACTCAATAGACTGCAACTCACAGGGATGGGTGGAGGGGAACCTGACCTCAGGCAAAAACACCAAGAACGGACGAGCTGCTCTTGACAGTCACAAACTTCTGTGACCACATTATGAAAATAAACTCTTCTGGAGGTTGGTGAAGCACAGTGTTATTATATTTAATATAAACTGATAGATGGTCGGAAAATCACACGATGTTATTTTCAACACACATTGAAAAACGTTCTCTCTTCCCTTTTCAACCCAGGAACTACTTACCTCTCATGAAAAACTGCTGGGAATCAGGATTCTGGGAAGGTTAATAGGTTACATAGTACTTACCTCTCATGAAAAACTGCTGGGAATCAGGATTCTGGGAAGGTTAATAGGTTACATACTCAAAGCAAAAAGATACAAGCTCTGGTAGAGTGGGATGAGGCACTTCACGGCCCTGCTGGCATTGATGCATGTGGCACATATAAGGCTTGGCAGTAGCTTTCCACTCACTATGGCTCCATCAAACAGAGGCCCAAAAAATGGAACCTGTTGATTCAAAACAGAAAAACACTTACTTTTCAAAAACCAGTAAAAGTCACACCAAAGACCTGAGAACAGCTGGTGGATGTCTCAGACTTGTCATGACCATGCAGATGGTCACCCACAGAAGATGCTGACCTTAGCAGGATACACGTCAAAGGCTTTCAGATCAAGCAACACAAGACTGCTCCACAATACTCCTCCATTATAAACTCTTCAGCAAAACTTCTCATGATAAATTATCACCAAGTTTTTTGGTGTTTTTTGGTGACAACCTCGTGTTGTCATTTAGAGAAATAGCATTATTCTAAGTGCCTACATCGTGTGGATTATGCACAATACACAGCTGTGCCTCACTGCACACCTCTAGCCTTGCATCCTTCTGAAACCAGTGTAGAATTGACAGTATTTCTGCATGGATCCTGATGCTTTTGACTCTTAAAGGAGATGATGACGATTGCTCTTAACAGCTACAAGGTCCTACTTATAGTCCTCATTCTTTTTTTTTTACAAATAGTTTATTGTCAGGTTGGTTTCCATATAACACCCAGTGCTCATCCCCACAAGTGCCCCCCTCCATGAGTCCTCATTCTTCTTAAACCTTCTTTCTTCTGCTTCTAAGATAATTGAATTATCCTCATTTCTTTCTACTTCCTTATTAGGGGCTTGGCTTTCCCTCACTGGACCCACTTTTACAATGTGAGTGACCCACAAGGTTCTGGTGCCCATGTTTTCTGGATTTGTTTCTTCTCTCCCACTCTATCCTTTTTTTTTCCCATTAGAAATTCATCAGCTTCATTTACCAATATGGAGACTGTCAACTCCATGAGGTCAAAGACTGGGTCTGCTTTGTAACCCATGTATTTATTCACCCTCTCACTTGTTTATTCAAAAAATATTTATTATATGACAGACATTGTTCTATTCACTGGGGACATAGCAGTGAATAATAAAATTCCTTAGTTCATTGAGCTTAGAATGTATTGGAGGTTTGAGGATAAAGAGTATAAATACATAAAATATATATTAGGTGGAAAAAGAGCTAAAGTGAAAAGTAAAGCAGGAAGAGCAATGGACTCTTTTGAAAGGGGGATGTCCTCCAATTTTAGATCACATGACCAGGGATAGCTTCAAGGAGAAGATGACACTTCAGTAAAAGCTTGACAGAAGTGAGGGAATGAACCTCATGTTATGAGGATGTCTGATGGGAGAGCATTCCAGGCTGAGCAACAGCAATACAATGGCCCTGTGGTGAGAGTGGAATTACTATGGTTTATCTGACTGAGCCACCCAGGCGCCCTGGGAGAGTGGAATTACTATGGTTAAGAAACAGCAAGCAAGCCACAGAGGCTGCAGCTGAATGAGTAAGAAAAAGAAAAGAAGGAGATAAAGTTGGACAGGTAATAAGAGGGGTCTTATAGGAAATTTTAGAGATTCTGGATTTCTACTCTGCACAAGATTAAAGCCTTCTGGAGGGTTTAGGGAAGTGGGAGATCTGATCTTATCTACATTTTATTTATTTATTTAAAATGTTTATTTATTTTGAAAGAGAAAAACAGGGGAGAGATAGAGAGAGAGAGTGAGAGAGAGAATCCCAAGCAGGCTGTGCACTGTCAGTACAGAGTCCAATGTGGGGCTCAATCACATGACCTGATCTGAAATCAAAAGTTGGATGCCCAATCAAATGAGCTACCAAGGCACCCCTAACCTACATTTTAAAGGTATGTTCTGGCTGTTGTGTTAGGAAAATTGCAAGAAGTAAGCATTATGGAGACCAGCTAGGGAACTAGTGAAGAATCCAGGCAAGAGATGATGATGGCTTAGATCAGAATGGTAGCAGAAGTGGGGAGAAGTGGTTGGCTTCCAGAAATAGTTTGAAGCTAGACAGGATTTGCTGAGGATTACTAATGAAGTGGGAGAGAAAGAGAGGCATCAAGAATGATGCCATGGCTTATACCTGGCAATAGGGAAGTTGGAGCCACCTTCTCCTGAAATGGAGAAGACCAAAAGGGCCTTCTCTTACAACTTTAAATATGCTAAGTTTGAGATGACTGTTAGATCTCCAGAGGTGATGTATGGGGGTGGCAGCAGATATATTAGGCTGGAAATCAAGGGAGAAGCTCAGACTGGAGATTTATAAGAGTTATTTATTTAAAGATGGATGTTTACAGCCATGAGATTGGATGATCAGATGAGTAAGAAAAGAGGTTTGAGGACTAATCCTGTGGCCCTCCAATGTTTAGAGGTTGGAGACATTAGGAAGAATTAGCAAAGAGGACTGAGAAGGAGTTGCTGGAGATAATGGAGAGAAACCTCCAATGAGTAGCACTGTACCTGGCACATGGTTGGGATACAAATACTGGCTAAATGAGTGAAATTGTCATTTTATTATTTTTTTATTTTATTTTACTTATTTTATTTTATTTTTGATGTTTTTATTTATTTTTTGAGACACAGAGAGATAGAGCATGAGAGGGGGAAGGGAAGAGAGAGGGAGACACAGAATCTGAAGCAGGCTCCAGGCTCTGAGCTGTCAGCACAGAGCCTGATATGGGGCTCGAACCCACAAATGTGAGATGGTGATCTGAGCTGAAGTCGGAGGCTTAACCGACTGAGCCACCCAGGTGCCCCAGAAACTGTTATTTTAAATAATTTAAATTATTTAACAAATACAGGTCTCTAGCATAGGTCTTTTAACTTGTGTCAAAGACTATTTATTTGTGGAACACCTTTTCTGTGGTTGGCACTGGGAGAGGGCCTGGGGAAAATGGAAGGCTCTTTGCCCAAAGGAAAGGACTTGAGGAGCTGACACAAGAAGACTATGAACTAACATCCCTCAACAAAGATGCAAAAATCCATTACAAATTCTTAGCAAATTAAATACAGCAATATATATAAATGACACTGTATCTTGACCAAGTGGTATTTGCCATAAAAGGCCAGGGTTGGTTTAACAATCATGAATCCATTAATGCAATTTACATTAATAAAATAAAAAAAAATTGTATGACCTTCTTGATACATACAGAAAAAGCATACATAAAATTCAACTCTTATTCATGATTAACAAAGAATTCCCAGCAAACTGGGAATAGAAGAGAACTTCTTCAATTTGAAGAAATCTTAAAGGGAAAAAAATTGTAACATTTTCTATTCAACATTTTTGAAAGTCCTAGTTATTACAATAAAGAAAGTAAGAGAAAGAAAAGAAGAAAGAAGAAAGGACCACAAAGATTAGAAAGAAGTAAAGTTATTTTTATTTACAGATAACATGATTATGAACAAGAGAAATTCAAAGGAATTTAACTAGAACTAACAACTGGACTTTCAAGGGTCACAGTATACAATATATCCTCTAAACCAATTATACTTCTGAATGTTAGCCATCAACAGCTGGAAAATGACTTTAAAAATTGTTTATTTATTATTGAGAGAGAGAGAGAAAAAAAACCTAAGTTGGGGAGGAGCAGAAAGAGAGGGAGACATAGAATCTTAAGCAGGTTCCAGGCTCTGAGCTGTTAGCACAGAGTCTGACACAGGGCTCAAACTCACAAACTATGAGATAATGACCTGAATTGAAGTCGGATGCTTAAATGACTGAGCCACCCAGCTGCCCTAGAAAATGATTTTAAAAATAATAATAGCATCAAAATCATCAAATACCTAGGAACAGATTTGACAAAAGAGATAGAACTACCAAACACTGCTGAGGTAAATTAAAGACAACCTAAAAGATGGAAAGATGTACAATGTTCATGGATTGGAAGTTCCCATACTGTTAAGATGTCAAGTCTGCTGAAAGGGAGCAACAGATTCAGCACAAACCAAGTCAAAATACTAGCAAGCTATTTTTATAGATAGAGATAAGCTGATTCTAAATTTATATTAAAATGAAAAAATTAAGTTAGCCAAGACAATAAGATTTATATTACCTAATTTTAAGGCATACATAAAACTATCATAATTAATACATCATAGCATTGGTACCAGAAGAGACAAACATATCAGTAGAACAGAATACAGGGTCCAAGAATAGATCCAACTGATTTGCAATAAAGGCAGCACATGAATTTTATAGGGAAAGGGAAGTCTGTTTCAAAAAAGGTACTGAAACAAGCAGATAGCCATATTTAAAAATGAACCTTGACCTCTACCTCATATCACACACAAAAATTTAGTGGATTATAGATCAAAATAGTAAACCTAAAACCACAAAGTTCCCGGAAGAAAACGTTTGAGAAAATCTTCACCATCTTGGGTCAGACAAGGATTTCTTATGGTATAAAAGGTGCCAATCATAGAAGAAAAAAATAAATTGGACTTAATAAAAATGTAAAACATTCTGCTCATAATGAAAGTGAAAAGCAAGTCACATATATTCACCAAATTAGGCATATCCTCAATGTTTAACAATAGGAGAATGAATGCAAAATCTGTGGTATATTCAACTAACAGAATATTCCACAGTAATGAAATGTACAAGCCACAACTATGTGTTAACATCATGGGAATGACCCAAATATTATGCTGAGTTAAAGAAACAGACACAAAGAAGTTCACACTATGTAATTCTAGCTACAGTTCAAAAACAGGTAAAACCAATAAATGGTGATGGAAGTCAGAATAGAAAAGTGGCCACCTTTTCAAGGGATTAGTGATTGGGATGGAGTGTAGGGAAATTTCTAGTGGCTGGCAATATCCTATGTTTACATCTGGGAAACATTAAATAATGTGCTTTAAAAGCATCAAGTTATACACTTAAAATTTGTACCCTTTTATTAATGCTATATTAAAAATATTCTAAAAAAATGAAAATATAGAAAATTTGAACAACACAACAAACTCATCCTTATGGATACATACAAAATATTTCACCCAATTGTAGAAGACACATTTCTTTCAAGCATGCACAGTATAGTTTTAAAACACTAACTATATTCTAGGCCAAGGGTCCATAAATACAGACTATGGGGCCTAATTCCAAGCCTGGTGCCTTTTCTGTATGA